AGTGAACATAATGTTTTAGAAATAAAATAAAAAAAAAAACCTTTAAAACTTTAAACTCCAGTTTTTTTTATTAGTAAACAAATAACTTCAGTAGCTATAACACAGTTTTCGGTAAGTAATGCAAACTAACTTTTAACAGTTACTTTTGGCCATAGGTCTGATGTAAGCCTATGAACCAAAATGTAGGAAATAAATCAAAGTTTTAGTTTGAGAAGTATAAGCATTCTATGCTTGATTTTACTTAATTTTTTGTAATTATCAGATATTAAAAAAGCTTCTTAAAAACCTTATACAACTTTGTTTCAACTTCTCCATCCATATCTTGTTCTTGATGTGTCAGAACATATCGAGCAGCATCTTTTCCAGTGACATCTTTAGCTTTCAATTTACTAACTGATTTCTTTTTTTTCATAACTGGTTGCAAAACAGTACCTGAAAAAAAATTCTTGAACATTAAACATTCTTAAACTTTAAAATAATCCATGTTACTAATGGTACAGCAATAACTATCCCCCTATCACAATAAAATGGAAATTACTAATGCAAAGCCAACTATATACAGGTACTGATTAAAAATTTACAGTCACAATAACCACATTTCTCAGAAACATGAAAAATTTACTCTTACAATGAAAATCTTTAGTCATTTAACAAGCTTCATTATTTTAAAGACATGTAAATGTATTTAATTTTAATAACTATACATATATCTTATAATGGGTAGCTACCTTTCTGCAATTCTTAAATTAACTACACAATTATGAAAAAGTTACAAATGCTGTTAAAAATATATCACTAGTTTTTTAAAACAAATATTTGACAGTACATGTAATTTGCAAACAATTTTTTTTCCAAAAAACTCGCAATATTTTTTGTGATTGTGTTAACGGTAATTAATTAATTTAATAATGGATAAATATTTAACAATGCATATTGATCATGCAGATATGTTTCATTTTTAAAATTGTATCTTAAACTGATACCTAACAATATATTTTCACATACCATATTCAAGACTCCCAGGTGGACGGTGGTCAATCCACTTTTCTCCTCCAGATGACTGTGACCGTTTGTGTCTGGGATTGGCCACTGCCATGCTCTGATACATTCATGAAATTTAAACAGTGTTATTGTGGATTGAACTTATTTTAGTCGTTGTTGTTTACTAATATATGAATATTCAAACTGTCCAATCAATTATCTTGTAATTAATAATGTGAAAATGACATCATATCTGAATTCTACAATCTAACTTCTGAGAAACAATAACATATTGATAAATGAACAGGCAACAGTACTGCACAATAATAGTCAGTTATCTTGCAACTAATGCCATAAAAATGATGAGTTAAATTTGAATTCTATTCACTCACTTTTGAAAAACAACAATAGTTAGGTTTTCATATAAAATAAACAGACAAGAGTATTGAACAATAACTTTAAATACTTAAGTGATTACTAGTATTAACATTAGGAGTCTTCTGGTAAACACCACTGTGAAAATTAATATGCAAACTATGAAGATTTTTAGACAAAAGAATAAAAATGCAGCCTTCATCAGAAACTAAGACACAAACTTAATATAGAAAAAAAAATATTAATACTTGAGAGAATCAGTTTAAGACTCTTCAAAAACACACAAAATATTATATTAACAAAAAATAAAATAGGAAAATAATACAATACTGACCCTTGAAGGTGTTGAAGTTTGCTCTACATTCAGTTTGGTGTCTGAATGAGAAGACGTCATTGCAGGTGTATTCCGACTTCTAGACCCTTGGGGTTAAAAACAAATAAAAATCTATACATATATTTTAAAAACAATTTTTTAATGAACAACTTGAATCCTTTACTGTATTAGACATTTCACAGTTTATCTTTGCTATAGATTTATAAAGACAGTTGAATGTTAAATTCTTATGTAATTCTAATTGTCCTTTAAATGAGATGTAAAATAATGATTTGACAATATGTATTAACCAAATTTCCTGAATAATAATTAAAGAACTAATTTCATTATCTAGTCATTAAACTTAATATAGCTTTATTGTACAAGTACTTCACTCTAAAGTTAGTAGTAAAACTCAACACCAGTAAAACCTTAAAATGACAGTTTCTCTCACAATATAAAATAAGAGTTACCCACCAACAGGAGTTGCTTTTGGCCCACAAGACAATCTAGGCTCAGATTTGGATGACAACTGTCGAGGACCTAGACCTTCTCCTACCAAAAACTCCCAGTCTTCTTGAGAATTCAAAATTTCCCGTAACTGCTGGATTTTTTCACCTGTGAGACACATCTTAGCTTCAAGTTCTGCTTGCTTTTCTGCAAGTCTTCTTTCCTGAACAACAGTATATGTATTAGATTTACTAGGTAAGCTTTACAGCTTACACAAATGCAAAGCAAGAAGATACTACAATTTATAACTTGGAATTCTCTACTCTCTCATGGGTAATGTCTTAAACAATACAAAAACCTTGGATCGTACCATGATTTTCCTCATCCGTTCTCGTTCTGAAATCAGTCGGTCTTCCATCTGTACACATATTTTCTGTTTCTCTTGCTCTCCTTGATTAAGTAACATCTCTTTTTCACCCAACTAAACCAAAGAAAACTCCCTGTATTATTTAAATCAATTATTTCATAATTGCAGTCTTATTTTTCATAAAAATTGTCTTATATTAATCAAACATTTATTATTCATTTTGAATCAATGAAAATATGAAATGTGATGCAACACTTACAGAAACATAGACACATAAAAAAATATGCTAACACATCCTGTTTGCTTTGTAAGAATGTAATTACATTTATATAACCTATAAGACCAATAAAACTTTGAATTGCCATTATCCTCTATATTCAAAAGCAAAAGTATGAGTTCCTGCTTAATGTTTTATTTCAAAGCAAACTACTCAAGATTACCCAACAATAACGGGCTACTCTTGTCAGACCAAATAGTGGGATTTGATCACTACTCTTGTAGCACACTATATCCCTAGAGTGCAGAATATGTGTTAATCTTTGCAAACATGTGTCCCTTAAAAAAGTAAATTCTGTCTAAATTACACTAGCAAACAATGTAATTACTTTCCAAGATAAAATGCTTCTGTAATAGTAAAAGACAATGGTAAGAAATATTAATGCATATTATTCATTTATACATAAAGAGGTAAAATGAAGTTCAATATATACAAATTTTACCATTAGGTAATTAATAAATAGTTTACACAAAATAATTTACATATTGATATATTAGGATATGCACAATACAGTTTTTCTAAGCTTTTAAAATTCCGTAGTTCTAATTCCTCTTTATATTACTATTAGGAAAACTTTATAAACGTAGTCCATGTTTTTATTACACATTTCTGCAATAATATTCTCTTCCAAAACTAATAAGTTCCATTAATCATCTCGTATTTCATGCATGTTCACTGAACAATGTTTCACTTCATACATATTCCCCAGTGGATTATGATCTAGTGAGCTTGAGACATTTGGAAACCAATTAACTCCAACATCATAAAAGTTAACCTTTGGTGACTACAACACTGTATTTACTGATATTATCTTATTAAAGTCTGTTTATAAAAGTCATCATTCATGGTTTCCATAAAAATGAAAGTTTTTGCATCACCTCTTCTTGATATTTTCTCTCAACAACGGACTTCCAAAATAAATTTCATGAGTTCTTTAAGAGGATTCTATCTATACCACCACAATTTGCTACATTATTCAAGCATAATACTATATTTGCCAAGAAAACTCATCTTAAAACATTTAGTTATTTTTTCATTACTTTTGTTACAGTAATAGGTAAAATGAATAACTAATTAGTATTATCTAGTTCTCTAGTATATGAACATCTTCCTGACTACAATGTTTTAAACCCATTTCACAACTATAACTATTATCAAGTGTTGAAATTTCAATGCTCTTTACTTTTTAATATGTTGAGTCACCAAGATCCCAATATAATCTTTTATGCTGTCGGAGGACAAGATTCTCTCTCTACAACGGGATAAAGTATATATCAAATTTATTTAAGATATGTTATATTATTAAGAAAAACTTAAGAATTTAATTCTGCCCTTTGAAGAAAATAAAGATTAAGCAGTTCTTAAAATTACAATTTTAGATATTTGTACAGAAGCATAACAGTTAATACAGAGAACACTGGAAAAAATGATGCTATTGAACTAGCACATATCACTGTAAGAAATTGTCAGAAACAGACCTGGGTGATTTAATTGATTACCTATCGATTAGTGTCATAAACTCATCAATTAATGTGATGAAAATAATCAAGAGATCAAAATTAGGGTTTCTGATTATTCCGACAATTAAATGTCATGAAAATAACCAACTAATCAAAATATTGTCATTATGTATGTTTGTTGTTAAGCACAAAGCTACATAATAGGCTACTTGTGCTCTGCCCACTGCTGGTTTAAGCAGTATAATTAGTTTTTTAGTTCAAGTTGTCCAGCTTTGAGCTAGAATGGGCTTGGTAATTTGGGGTGGGGGTGTCTTTGTAATTTGAGTCCATTTTGGATTTCATTCCCACTGCCACCAAACTTTACTAAGACCATCTGTCAATGTTAACTGTTAACAATAGGGAAGGCTAGCAGCATTAACCACCAACTAATGGGCAACTTTTTTTTTTCTCACACAAGGTAATGTGTCCCACAACTTGAGGCACACTGTAGTAATCAATTAAAAAATATCACTAAATGCCCAGCTTTAGTTAGAAATAATGGCAATTCAGAGCAACCCATTTATGTCAGTGTATTACAAACAGAACTCCCAGAAATGAGTGTCAAAGTTAGTTACATAAATGACAAAATATCAGGCATCAATTTTTCTGTAATTGATTTTGCTTTAGATTTTCATGCAAATTTACACAAGGCCTATCTGTGTGTAATCAGTGATTAAAAGATGGGTCGTGATGAACAAAAATATAAACACAAACAACTGAAAACAATAATACACAATATAAAAAAACTTTAATAATATCATTAATTATCCACATTAAAATAATAAGCTCTAAGAATTTACTTGTCACTTCATTGGCCCAACAGGTTCTTGTACTTCATCATAACAGTTTTTTTCATAATGTTGAGTTCTCACATCCTCCAATAAAACACATGAACTAATGAACATGTACCTCTGAAGGGATATAACAGTTTATATTTCTTTACGTTACTTAGGAGATGCTTAAAAAAAATTTAAATCACACACACAGTTTCAAAACTAACAGGCATGGAAGTGAGCCACTGGCAAAACCTGATCAAATTCTTTAGTACTTACTGCAGTGAATGTCTTTTAGTGCCTATGCACTGAAACTAGCTTAACTGAAACATCAACACAGGACGTATGAAACTTGTCCCATCTTGAGAGGCCTACAAGTTTTTTAACCCTTTCAGTACAGATTCTGTATTCTTAAAATTGAAATGATACAAATATGTATAAATGACTTAGGGTTCATAAGGAATGTTTTCTGAATTTTTGGAAATTTTTCCCCTGCATGGTTTTTGAAATTTGTGTATGGGTCATGTGTCCCAATGGGCATTGTTGTTGGTTTACATGTGTATTAGCAGCTACTTTTGGAAACATATTTTACATACATTCTGAGGAAAGTAACACAAGAACATCTTGTAATCAAAATTTTATTTGTCCAATCCTGAAAAAAAAAGATGTTAATCATTCATACAAGATATTACTAGAGTGCCATGTTCAATGGTAGTAAAATGGTGAAATATTGATTGTGTCATTCATATAGCAGGGCCTTTAGTAGATTGTTGGTTTGCAGCCTTTGATGGGACGGATTACTAATTGTAATGAAGTATCTGAAAAACAAGCTATTTTTTAATGAAATGCTTATTTTATACTTTTAATAACCTCTGTGTATTTTAAAACATACATACGAAATACATCATATAATTAAATTTTGTTATTTTTCAAATTAAAAACCCACAATATGAGAGTTTATTATTAATGAGATTACTCTCTAGCATGATATATACTAAGTTACATACATTGTTATATCACTACTTGCTGTAAAAGCTCATTGTTTAGAGAAACTTCCAATAACATGTGAATTCCACTTGCTAGGGAGGGAGCCATTTGTTTTTCATTGTTGCCAATTGGCAAATTATCTTTGTAGCAGGACAACTTGGCTTATCAGATACACGCTCTTATTATCATGGAATCATGTGATCCTTAAATGTGTTTATATTTGTGGGTGCTAGTAAAGTTTATGCTATCACCATTGTTTTCTTGACAACTAAATATAGGGAGCCTGTGCTCTGGCCAAATGTAATAAATATAAGACAGACCTCCACTGGTAGCTAAGGTACAGTCCTGACAGACAAACATACTTGATTTGTCAACCAAAAATTTTGGTATTTATCAATGCAAATTCAATAACATAAAATTTACCTCATATTCTAACGTTTGCTTGCTTCGTTCATATTGGCCAACTTTCTGACGTAGAATCTCAGTGGTGTGTTCAGTACTTGACAACTTGTTTTCTAGACTCCGAACCTGCTGCCGTCGGGTTTCCAGCTCCATCTTTAATATATGTATTTCCTAAAATTCAAATTGAAAGCTCAATCTTTTATATTACTGCAACCATAAGAATGTATATATAAATCTTAATCTCTGAAACAATAACCAAAAATATGTAAATACTTATTCAATGACTAAAGATTTTTTTTATACACAACACCTTAATATTAATTATTAAGTTAACACAATAATATAATATAAATCTATAAAACAATTACACCTCAAACCTTTTGTATTCAGTTAGTTTTCTCTATTATGTACATATAGAACAGCAATGACAATTAAAACCTACTGTGGTGATAGGGGATCACTAATTAGAAGTTTTAGACAGATGTTATAAATATCAATTCCAATACAGATTTAACTATGAAACAAAATCTTCTAAAAAAAAGCATATGACAGAAGCAAACTTAATATGTGATTATTGATGATTTTAGAAATTAATGGTAAGATTTTAAACCATAGAGGTAATTAAATTTAAAGTTTGTTCTTTTCAACAAAATGTATACAAGTTAAAACAGAAGTAAAAGTACTATTTTAAATGTAAATGTTAGAACTCATATAATAAATGTTTTTTTTTCTTGTAGTCTATACTTATGTAAATTTTCATTAGTTCCATGCAAAATGTACATTGTGTTGTATTTTTTTTTAAATCAAAATTGTTATTTGTTAGCCAAAGTAGGTGTGACTATTTCTGTATTTCATACACAAATATTAGTGCACCAAGACCTAATGGTTAGTGCTTTGGACATGTAGCTGAAAGGTTGCTGGTTTGAGGTTTGCCCAGGTCATGTTTGTGTTCTTGAGCAAGGCAATTTACACTACCCAGTTGTATAATGTGTACCAGCAGGTAGCTGGTGTTAAACTGTGATGGACTGGCATCCCATCCAGACAGAATGTTTCACCATGTTTATCCATTTGTGCCACAGGAAACCAGACTTAAGCACTGGCCTTATGTGCTTGTGAAGGTGCTACAGTGGTTAAATTACATACTTTTATAAATAAATATTAATTTACATTTGCTTCTGAAAGCAAACGGCTTATAAGGAGTCTAATATACAATTACCAAGTATAGAATTCCTCTGATAATAACTTGTGTCTCTACAGAATTTTAAAGTAGCTTGAATTCGAAATACAGTGAATTACTTGGCTAGAACAATTTTGGACAACAGTTCATGACATTTAGGACTCTTGTGAGTATCCATTAGTTCTAAACTGATGTAAAGAGAGCAAATGTAAAAAGTGACAATCTCTCACACTGTTTTCTGATTATTTCTGGCTATTTTATTGTTTTAGAAAAATATAAGTGAAAATTGAAATGTTATGTTTTACTCACAGATTAGTGACCAGAAATTTAGCTATTAAGTTTACGATAATAAGAAATATATTATTATGTGACTGATATAAGAGGTGAACAAGATACAGAATTTCCCAGAGTAAGGAGAAACCAAAATTTATGGTTACATTTTAATAATTTTCCTTGCCTAGGATGTTAGGGAATGTGATAGAGAAAAGCCAACTGTCGCAGATTGACACACAATAACAGTTCTTTTAGACTAGAGAATATTCTTGTCCCTAAAGTTTTGTTTCTCACTCCTTTCAGACATTTAGTATAGACAGATGTTACTTCTGTATTGAGTCTTTATTTCTTTTTTTTTTAAGGTACATTCTTCCTTTTCACTACAACTCTCTGTCATTTTGGACTTTGAAATTGTTTTCAGTTGGCAAAAGCAATAAGTTATCATAAGTAATTAGTGGCTACAATTATTTATTTTAAAGTAACTTATAAAATACAATGTCCATTATGTTTAATTCGTGTCTACATTTGTAAGATCAAATAATTTCACAATTTTACTTGTCATGAACATTTGTATTATGCCTAATACATTTTTAAAAACTACATTTTTATATAGTCCCTTAGGGATGTTCAAGAATTAGAAGGTTGTATAATAAATGTATTCCAATCACACTACATTTGCCATATCCACTGAGGCTAGATTATTTGAAAATATCTAATAGTTCTTTTTTCTCCCTAAGTTATATTTTCTTGACATAAATGTTATTAAAGATACAAATTGAAGTGTTCTTTACTGGAATGAATAAGGGAGATAAACATTTTTTAAAGAACAAAAATAAATAAAGATTATCTGAAACTTACAGTACTAAGATCAAAATTTAGAATTAGGCATTGCTGAACTTCACATCTACATTAAATACACTAAATTGGTTTTCTATAACAACTTCAATGTAGCTCCATACACATTCAAAACAGAATCAGCAATTAAACTTCATTTTAACTAGAAAAAAAAATCATAGAAGCAATTCATTCAATTTTCTCTCCTCATAGCACACTGTAATCTGCATACTCTTAACAACAAAAATAGACTTCATGTTTCAAAAAATATCAATAAAGCATATTAATTGTTTGATAGCTTTGTTTAACACCAAGTACAACTAATCATAGTAAGGTTAGAATGCAAATGAAAAGTAATTTCTGAAGCTGACTTAATAGTGGTCAATTGAATTTTTCTTCATTATGCACCCCGAAACAAAAACTAGTTAACAAAAATAGCTCATTCTTTTTAAAGAAATACAATGAATCTAATACATTTCACTTTTCTTAAAACATAGGACTTAAAATAGAACTTGGAAACAAAAAGTGAAGAATGTCAATGAAATTTGATTCTTAGATAATTGCAATACAAACTTATATAATATTCTAATTTATTGTATTATATCACTGATAATGCTCTTTATTTACCTGTTTCATACTAAGACTTTCCTTCTCAACCTCAATGATTTGATTTCTGAAAGTATTTTCTGAAATAAATTTTACAACATGGTGAATAATCTAACTAATGAAATACTACTAATTAGCTTAATTATAAGAAAATTGTTAGACAATTAAGACAAAGATTATAAAATTTAGTTACTTATATTAACATTTCTTGATAGATAATTTTATAAATAAATACTGTAAAGATTGTTAAGACTAATTTTTGAAACAAAACATTTGGAATGCATGTAGAGAATTGAAAAATTAGATAATTTTTCAGAACTCAGTCATAATTTTAGAAAAACACATAGGTTCAAGAAGTCTTGATAGAAAAGAGTAAAAACCCTATAACCAGAGCGTTATCGGAAAGGCATACCTTTCAAAAGTGCTCGGGTTATAGGTTTTATATTCAGTTCTTTCAGAACTCAGTAATGTTTTAAATTAATATTTCTATATGGATTAGCTGTATCTTACATTATGTTTATGATTAACACTCAACTAATGCAGAGTTCTCAATAGGGTCCCAACTCTCAACTTTCTTTTCAAGTCTCAGTGAGATTTTTTTCAAGGGTCCCATAGGTAGAATTTAATACACTCAAAAAAAACAACAAAAAAACTTTTCAGTGTCAATGAAAAACTTTATTTACAATTTACACTGAATGTTGCTTCCCTTTTCGAGTGCAAAGTAATTTTCATGATAAGATTAAAAACTTTTCTTCATCTGAAAATTTTCAAATATCATTTGCATGACCCCTAAATAAATATCAAATGTTTTTTTTCAAAAAAACTTCATATCTTAGCTGTTATTTTTCTTTACCTTAACTCTATATGAGGTTAGTTGATTTGACTGACCTTGTACCCATCATAAAAAAATTAGAAAATAATTCTAAATTCCCCCATTTTCTTTCTGGAATGACTGCAAATTGTAACAGAAAACTACAACTGTTTATCCTAAGTAGCTTAAAGCTTGTAACAGTATACATCTATTCATGGCATATAAATTACAAGTCACATGGCAAACATGCAGTTCACATCAGGTATTGAATTACATAATTTGTGGACTACCCGCGAGCATACCTCATAAAAAATTATCATTATTTATTTTACTTTATCTAACCTAAAAAATTTTCAATCTTTACATCTTAGTTACTTTTATAATAATAAATAAAGAACAAGAAATAAAGTACTTACCTGGGTCTTTTTCTTTTGCTCTTGACTGTCGATAAAACTTAACACTACTTTTTTATATTAATGGTACTACTGCATTAAATAATGCACCAAAGAACACAGAATAATAATATGTAAAAAGGAAACAATGTTCCATAACTATCACAATTTTTCTGGCTTTCTAACAGTGTGACAAAAGCCATTAAATTTCAGCTAAGCCTACTGATGTGTTTCCCGTTGGAATAAAGTTTGAACTGAAGGAAAATAGATAATTCTCTGTACAGAAAACAATGTAATATAATACATCATTTGATAGAAAAAAACTTTGGCTTTCTTTTGGTTATATATAATATAGTCTTAAATGTCAGAGAGAACTATTGGCAAGTTCTGAAAGAGAGGATGTGACATGTGGGAGTGGCAAGAGGGGTCTGAATTTCTTATTGCTCTGTAACTAAATAAAATTGAAGTCTATGTAAACTATGCTTTGCCCGAGCAATGATAACATCATAATGAGTATTTTACATAAAATTTCGTGCTTCTCAGAGGGATGGTAAAAACATTAGAAAAGAGGGAAGACATAGATAACAAACATCACAATTCTCACACTAGGGTACAAGTGATGATGACAGAACCTTGTCGAAACATTGTATATTTGCTGTTATGTTAAACTTAAAGTTTTTCTTCATTACCAATTCAAGCCATCTACAAGCATTATTAGTCTCAAAGTGGGTTTCTCGTCATCAAACTTAATTAGAACTCTGTAATGCTATCAACAAGTGTTTTTATCTACATATCACAATTTTTTCAAATACTTTGTGTTTTCCATAAAAATATATATATCATTACAGGTACATCAAAAAATTAATTACAAACAAATTTTTATATTTTCTATCACTGTTACTCTTGACTAATATGTTTCTTTGGCATTTTAAACAAGTAGTGGGAAATATACATATATCATGTGTTACACACACACACACACACACACATATATATATATATTCCTGATACAATTATCACAGAAAAAATAATAAAATATTAATTTTACATTCCCACAAATGTATCAAATAGAGAAGAAGAAAAAAAAACATTTCTTGAATTCAAAGTAAAAATAGCCATACACAGATGAAGAGCAACTATCTAAACTTGTACAATACATACGTTTACTAGCTAGGTCATTCAGCAAGACTTCACGACGAGATTTTCTAGCAATCAAAAACTGGATAAGGCACTCAAAGGAGGCTTCGTCATCAAACATCTGTTCCAGAAATTATCACATAAATCATACGTTAAAGGAAGCTTCTGAAATTTGTTTATAAAATTATATTTACACAATGTATTTTAACATTTAATAAAAAACTCAAAACTTTGTCATAACAATAAGAGATGCCATCTAAGTTCATAATTTTATACAGTTTTGACCACACACTTACTATAACCACATAAGGCCACATTAAAGAAACCTGAAAGTATTCAGTAAGTTAACTGATGTGCCAATTATTCAATGAGTCCAGAGGTGCAGTTATGTTCAAGGGAAAAAATACAATTACAAATAAATACATTTAATCAATTTTGTTACTTACAAGCAAATTTTAGCTAATTAGATAAATGGTAACAGAAGCACTGACATTTCTGTTATGATGATCCATACTAGAGATATGTATTGTTTATAACACATGCAACTAAACAGTATTTTAGCTCTTTGGCACCCAGATGTGTTCATCTGGCCCTGAGGTCAAAACTGCATACAAAAAAAAAAATAAAATAAAAAAAATAAAGCTATTGTTGTTCTTACACATTTTATTAAAAAACTTCAGAATTGAAATTTATTCAATATAAAAAGTAATTTTGATTTCAGTGCTCCAAACAAAAATATTAGTGTTTGTGAACTTCCAGTTTTTTCTGTGCATAAGACAGCCATCGTAGGCTCCTAAAACAAAAGTCAAAATAGTTTTGAAAAAAAAAATGCTAATTTGACCTTGAACCTTGAGTACATGTGTGGTTTCAGTTTTAGCCAATTACTATTTCTGAACCCAAACTGTCATAGCGTGATGTAACTGCCTATATCTTGGCTTTGAGAAGACACAGATAAGTGATCTAAACACCTAATTAAAACTCATTTTCTGCTATGCACAACTGTGTAAGAAAATATAGAACCAATTTATAGAAGAATCATATATTGCTATAATAAATTGTTTGTGAGCAGCTTCTGCCACAACTGTTCCAATTTTTTTTACACTTATAAAAAATATTGCTTTTTATTTTAAATATAATGTTGGAACATGATAGGAAAATAAATGTTTTTATGGAACAAAATCAGGTAAGCCTAATTAAATCATTTTGCATTCAACTTCATCATTTTGTCTCATCAATAGTTTCACTATTTGTTAGAACATGTTTAGATTAGACCTTACCAGCCTAAGTAACTGCTTGAATGCGTAAAGAAAATCATAGAAAAGAAATGTAAAAAAACTAAATATAAATGATTATCAAATGGAACCTTTTAATTAAGAATTGAAAAAAGTTGGCTTCCTTGTATATAATTGTGGTACAGTAAAAAAAGTTATTTTTACTGTATACCAATGAAACTGAATACAGATTCTTGAATAAAACAAAGATAAAATTTTCAGTTCACAAGAATGTAGTTTGACATAACAATCAGTAATTGAAATCTACAACAAAGGTAAGATTTTTATTTATCTCTTAAAAAATATCAAAATATTTTTGAATTTTAAAGATGTTAGTTCATATAAATATCACATATTTTGTAGAAGATGTAGAATACTCAACTGAAGTTTCAAACAATTTCACCCAGTAGTTTTTGCAAAACGATATAACAAACTATACAAAAGGTGCATGAAATTGATTCACCAGGGCATTTTTGTTAAAAGTACAATCTTTAGTCAGCTATATCCTTTTAGTTATACTTTAAATGCTGAAATCTGGCAAAGCATTAGAAATCAACAGACCTAAAATGTGTGATCAAAATTACATAAAATTTAGATTTTCTTTCCCCCCCAAATCCTAATTGATTTGACCATTTCAGATTCACAAAATTGATGAATTAAGAGGTTAGCGGAAAACGAAAATGCACTGTTTATATGGTTTTTATTAAAACTTTAGGTTTAAATTAGTGAGCAAATGTTACCAAAATTTGACAGATTATCAGTAAACATTACAATGCTTTCATACGCAAAATATCAAATATCTTTATTAAGTTTTAAGGTTTGTAAAGCAATGCTTTACTCATGCCATTTTTTCCTTTTCACGTTTCCTATTATCATACAAAGTAATTTTCATTTTAAGATTAAAAATACTTTTATGGATCAGAAAATTTTGAAATTTCACACACGAAATCATTATAATGTCCAGATAGTTATCAAATGTTTCTTAAGAAAAAACTTTATATTTTATCTGTTATTTTAAGTAATGAATCTCTGTACGGATTCAGTAGATTTGATCAATCTTGTAAACACCATAAAAAATTATGAAATAAATATAAATTATGCCTCTTTCATTCTAGAGTGAACATAAAAAAAAATATAAGACGAAAACATAAATTTTTAGACTAAATAGCTTAAATCTCATAACATTATACATTTATTATATTGACCTTTCAGCCATGCCTGACTAACAATACACAAGTTATAATGATGCAGCGCACATGCACTCATGTTACTGTATCCAATAATATAAAACTGACCTTTAGTCTTTACAAAGTGACCTGTCTTGACTGTGTTTTAATAGACTAGTATTTTGTAAAATACAGTCACATTTCCATTATTATACATTATATATGTATATAAATTATTGCTATTTAGAAATAAGTTGTTACACTTATTTTTCTTAAAACATAGAACAGTAAATAAAGAAGTAAAGCAAACAATTATTTGTTCTAGTTACGACCTTTGTACTCAGTTACTGCTCGATGTAGATTGCTAAGCCTTTAAAAATTTTTGTACGTGGAGGATATGAACAAATATTTTTTTTAGGTTTTATATATACATTTGAATAATTAAAAAAATTATAAATTACTACATCAATACCATAGAAATCAATTATAATTTATCAATTTTAGTAACTAAGCTGTATTTGGGTCTAAAAAAATATGAAATTTCGAGCAGACTAAAGACTCAACTTACCTCTACGCCATCTTGTATTGAAAGAAAGATATAATGACTTGATATTTTATAAGGGCTGAGAAAGCCACTTGGGGGACATTCTGAGCTCTCGATTGGTTATTCATGTCATATATAGAAGTAACTGTATATAATGGAGCATTTCCAAAAATGGGTGGAATGCCTTTGTGTTTGATTTATTACATGAGCAATATCTTAGCAAACTGAAAAGACAATACATTCTTATTTTATATTCTAGCTTGTCAATATCGCTAATTTGAGTTTCTAATTCATACGAAACTATAGACTTAGTATTTTGACTTCACAAGCATCTAATTTGAACCAGTGGTGTATTCAACATACCACGTGACACACAAAAATTTATGTTTATCTGTTTTTTTAATATTTACTTTTAAATAAAAAAATGAGTAATGTATAGCACTAAAATTTGAATTAAATCTACAGTTTGATACAAACTTATTGACATAAATTCATGAAATAATTTTGAATGCGAGTCAACAAACGAGATGCGATGGCCTTTCACCCGTGACCCTTCTCAAAAGGGTTATTAGGATTACTATGTGACCAACTGTAATAAAAAAATGGATAAACTTATGTTTGCTACTAAGTAACCTAGGAAAATACTTAACTTAAAAGTTCTAAAATTAGCTTTTTTTTGTTTTTTTGCTAATGGTCAATCTATTATGTCACTCATGGTCTTCTGTTAGCCTCTATATATCTAAACTGAGAGATGCACTAAAAACTATCATGAGTTTAAAAACTTAAGTATCTTAATATGCTAATTCATCTAGAAAAACAAAATAAATGGAGCTCTGAGTATATATACACAAACACAAAACCAAGAATATGTTTGTTGTAACATTGCTAAAGCATGATTTATAAGAAATTAAGGATGCCAAATCCATTGTAATGACTTCTATTAACACAAAATGTATACTACAAGATGTAAAAAAAACCTGTCAGGTGAAATCTGTTGAAAAGTGCTATACGTAAGAGCAAAAAACAAAACAAAACTGTAAAATAATTTGATCAACCAGGAAAAGCCAAAAAAGCTAATATGTTTCAAAATTGTTCTTTTCTCTCTCTCTACATCAGTAATAAATGAGGTTTCATTACAATTTATCAAGAAACTACTGGCACTTGTGGACTATAAGTTATACAAATACACTTTACAGTTAAAAAGGTGGAAATTCTTTTTAAAAACAGAAATTTCATTCTACTCATAAACGAAATGTATGTTTGATACAAGTTTCTCACTTACAGTAACCTCTGTTAAAAACATAAAAACACACACAAAAATAATTAGAGAAACAGTGATAAAAAATATAATTAGCAAAAATGCTTTTACTTCACCAACACATGTAAACTAAGTAGAACAGAAACACAAACCATTAGATCTGGAAAAGGTGCACCAAGACTATATACACCTGGAGCCAGAAGTTCTTGTAGATTTCCTATTAAAGCGTAAAGAGCAAAATAAGCAGTTAGTGGAAGTGTTTCTACATATCTGTAAAGATGTACGGTACACAAATATACACAATTTGCTTAATTAAGTTCACTGAGTAAATGATTTGTCAATTAAACTATTAAAATCTTGGAAACTTGCTTTGTGGATTAAAATAATCTATATTAGAAGTGGCTTTTATCTGTGTGCCTCTTTGAACATTATGTAATGAAAACTATTCAACTTCCAAACCTTTGATTACTCCAAAATTTTCAGGAATTCTCATGCATAAGTGAAACAAATTTTCATACGTCTTTTAAAGTAAACACAGTATAAGGTCAAATACAATAAAGTTCTCAAGAATTAAGAAGAAAAGACTGGGCCTTCTATTAGGAAAGAAGATTTTATGAAGTTTTATTTCTTACCACCCTCTTCCTTTGCTTTACGAACAGCTTCACGATACAAGTTTCCTCTACCTACTCGAAGACCAAGAGACACAGGAGTACTGGGAATAGGTGTGGCTCGACTTATCATTACCTCCTGGGTCATTTCTGCAAACCTCATCACATGCTGAACAAAGAATATCTTAAGTAAATTTCTGATATATTATTAATGCTAGTAAATCAATATATGCCAGTAACTTTATACTGACTTCCACAGCAAAAATATAAATACCATATAAATAAAAAGGGAAAAGGTCAATCCAAGTTTTATTTTTTCACATTTCTTAATCAATCCACTACTTGTGACAACAATATTAAAAATATTAAGCAGTTTGTTGATACAAAATAATTTTCTACAAAAGTTTACTACAGAAATGTAGATACAATTACAATATCAGGGGTTTCTTTAAGAAACATAACATTTATTAAATTTATAAAAAAGATCCTAAACACTTAATGAACTTTTTTTCAAAGGTACAAAAATGTTTACAAGAAAGTGAATATGTTTTACAAAGAAATCTTGACTTTAAATATTCATTTACACACTCAAGCCACATCTCAGGGAAAATTCATTCTAGCCATCACTTCAGTGTTTTATAATTTATACTCATGAAGGGACATTCAACAAATACCGAAAGATGATTGGATAACACTTGTTCAGCTCAACAGTGGATAACATCATACTGAACTCACGCTTTTCCTTCTTATTTTGTTACTGGTCAGAATTGGGATTCTTACTTACATAAAGTACATCTTGCATATGTAATGGAAACTACCAAGAATATGGTCAACTATGACATTAACAAAAACAAACTTAGTCCCATGCCAAAATAGAACAGCTAAACCTTACTTGCTACTAGGTGACAATGTAAAAAAATCCACACATATTTGCATACAATGCTTAACTAATACAACATATGCTGAACAGGTTTATGTAGTCATTATCCAATAAATCTTTGTGTTAAAAGTTATTTGCAAAAAAAATTTTCATTTCTTTTTTATGTCACATACAGTTATCTGGCTGTTGACTAACTTCGTAACATACCCGCTCAAGGATTTTGGGCTATAATTTCAACAATATTTGACCAGTTTAGGCACAAGATGACTCAAAATAATGGAAATATAATATTATAGAAATGATAAATGAAAGCATAAGACTACTTATGCATAATGTTTAGGGGAAAATGTGTTGAAAAATTTTAAATCTTTGGATTACACATACAATTGTTTATACAGTTCAGAATTCTTGCCTGTATATATTATAAACTAAAATTACCATCAGTGACTATGGAAGCAAATAATGTGAAGTACATATCTATGTTTTGGTAAAACTTAGGGGGCAAAACATTATAACATAACTAGTATATCAATCATTGGCAATACTTACCGTTTACTATAGCAACGAATATTTTCATTATAACTATGCGAGATGTATTTAGAAATATTTTGAGGTACACAAAATGACAAATACATGACATTTTTAATACTTATTCAAAAATATTCATAGCAGACTTAATATTTTCCTCTGTTGAAACATTGTGCAACAATAACATGTTTTTTTGCACAACTTATCCCACATGGACGATTGATATCTGAACCACGATGAATTTAAATTCAAACAAAAATAACGAACAGTATGAATACAATAAAAGGTGGTTTTGTCATGGTACTAGTCATTGCCACTATGCCACTGATTGACTTAGAGATTTCCTTACTCATTACAATTGTGTTACTGTTTCTTATTACTGACTCTTTACAGGGAGAGGAGTCCTTGTCTATGAAAATAGTCCACCTAATATATCACATAATCTATGCCTAGTCTGTCAAATAATCATCAATCTGGCAGAAGGAAAAATAATAAACATTTGCTCAGTTTAGAAAACTGTTGCATATTGATATCATCAAAGATCCTTATCTCCTGATACCACAAACACTGCAAGTAAATAATATGAACACAAAGCAAATTATAAAACAACAATCAAGTATCAAAATACATTATTGACAGAGTAAATGAGCTTCAAATAATATAACATTTATCATGAATATACAAGATATATAGTAAAATAATAATAATACAATCTCAGGAGATTCAATTCTTTTTTTTCAAAAGTGTTAACTGAATGAAACTTGTTTCTAGCAAGGACAACATTTTCATATCAACAAAACTTAATGTTCATAGGATATTTCAAGCACAACAATTGAGTTGTCAACTAAGAATATTTTCATGAATAAAGTAACATTACATAGGTCTCTGTAACATTAACTTTTCATGGCTTTAACATTTTCTACTAAACCCCTTTTATTTGTTTTTATGTTTTAATGTCAGTGTATTTCCAAGTTAACCCACAATTGAGTCAGTTACTTGCAGCACATAAAAAAGGGACAGTATTAAAGTTATGGAAACTTTCATTTGACCAGTCCACAACTGTTGTATTCATGTAGAACTAATCTAATGTGGCCAGTTTCAAGGATGCCAAGGAAGACCAAGAAAGCCCTTGTCAATCATCTGGATTCGCACTTAATCCTTTACACATGTCAGTTGGGACACATACCAGAAATGTGTTAAATCATGGTTGAACTTACACATTTCTGATCAATACACTGCTGAATATTTTCAACAGCACTTGTCAGATGTGATCCTCAGTGATGCAGGGTTTCATCCAATGTGCTCTAGGTGTTTTATAGGCAAAATGTACATGAAGTGTGCAAGAAAATGCTATACATCTACAGTTTCTGCCTGGACTAATTGGTATTTCTGGCATTTATGGGCCAAAATAATGTATTTGTCTCTTTTCTTGAATGTGTAACTGACGGCAGGAAGGACATGTCCAGATGTACTGATAAGGAGGCCATATCTTGATCTAGATTTCTTGCTAGGGCTAAGCAAGGGCATGGAACTGGTGTAAGATGAGGTACTGTCTCTTGTAATATTGGCTACCAAGAATATATTCAACTATGATGTTAATAAAAACACCCTTTGGCCCCTGTTGAAATGTAACAATTAAATCCCGCCTGCTACCAAGAGACAATACGAAAAACACAAAAACATGCATATATACATACAGTGTTGAACTGAAGTTAACTCTTACAAAGAACAGGACAAGACAACCAAGCATAATGTTAAAACAAATGACAATCTTGACCAGATAAATCTTTATTTGTAATAAGGGTAAAACTCAACTCTACCTTCTCTTCCAATATCATAAATGCTTCCAAAATCTTTTGAACCAAATTGTAAAATATTTAACAAAAATCCTATAAATCATAGTAATCTTTAACAACTTCTACACTCAGAATACAATTGTTGAATCCAAGTTAAGGAACTTTTATTCAAGTAAAGCATAACTAAACATCTCTAGAGAAAAATACTTTTAATCTTCACATAAAAACTTTTTTCTAATCGATACATCATATACTGTAATCATGATTTTAAATGGCCAACAACTTTACACAAATGGATACAGTTAACACATTTTGGGAAAAATATTTCCATAATAATGTTGGACATATTTTATAAAAAATTGATCTTGGAGCATACTAAATGTTGTTCTTTAGAGTTCTTACAAAAATTGATCTTCATACTGAATTTGTTGAACAGAACACTAACAAATTTGTAACTGTAGTATATTTTCCATAAATCTTATTGTGCAATATAACCTCAAATGAAGGTAGTAGTTAACTGAATTTAGTCTTCATATTTTCATTACATAGTTTACTACCAATATAAAATTACCAATACAAATAATAACATAAAAGACACAAAAAACTTACAAGTGTTTCATCATAGTCACCAGCACAAGGATTGACACAAACTATCATTCGCACCTTGCCTTCTCCTTCAAAAAACCTTTTAAATAAATTGGTTAACTTTGTTTCTCTATATGGCACCATCTAAAGAAAGAAAAGCAATAAAAACAACTCAGACTTAAATCTTCTAAATGTATATGTGACAACAGTTGGCAAACAAAAATGAAACGGAATATTAAGAAGAATACGAAACCAAGGCTGAGCCAGATGTTAAAGAGCAATATTTAATAATTAAAGCATACAAAGAATATTGCAACTAGAAAATAAATAAATGGGTAAACATAACATAAAAAGGCTATACTACTTCATAGTGTCTAACTATTCCACCACCAGATAAGGAACTTGAAAAGTTGTGACTAAGGGATGTGGTTAATGTCAATGACCCACACAGAAAATAAGCGATTCACCCAATGTTTTTAATTAATTCTTTACTCCAGACGGGTAAATTTTGGGAAGTTTGAAGGGATTATTCTTTCTTTATAATAATAAAAAAATTCCAAACTTACATATGATTAATATTATAGTTTTTCAATACTAAAACAGAGGGCATATAGGGGTTCAATATACGGGCCTAGAAGGGGACATATGTGTCCATTGCACCAAAACAGCTAATAGTGAGTGTATACAACCAATGAATCAATACATTATATTCATTACAGGTTTCAGTTTTATCATGTATTAGTTTATGTTAGATATTATGTATTTCTAGCCATTTCTTATACAGACTATTACAAGTTCCTTTCTATCAGATGCTTGCTTCACATAAAATTTCCAACATAAATCTAAAACCTTCCTCCTCCATGGTCAAGAAGAACACTAGCTTTCAGACAACACTAAGATTTCTAAATTCAAGTTCAGAGGAATTAAAAGCCTTGAAGAATTTCAGTAAAAATGGTAGCGTCATTATTTTTAAATGTAGCAGGAAAGGTAATGGTATTGTTATTATGGACAAAGATGATTATTTAAGGAAAAACAAGATATTTTAAGTGACTGTACTAAATTTGTGAAGTTGAGCTGTGACCCAACCAATACAAGAGGCAAAGTTACAAAGATACTTATCAAAACTGAAAAAAGTAGGATATTTTAAATGAAGAACAATATTTGTAAACATCAGAACATCAGGTAGTCATCCAGGAGTTTTTTACAGACTTCCTAAAATTCATAAACAAGGGTGTGCATTACAACTTATAGTCTTCAATACTGGAACTTGTAGTGTTGCTTTAGAAGTTTTTTTGGGTTCAATTTTTAAAGACTTTTACTACCAATGAATACATGTTGAAAACTTTTTTGAATTTTCTAGTAAAACATAAAAAAAAAGTGATGTTGAATCTTGGTGGTGCATAAACTTATCATTGGAAGAGACTATACAGTTAAGAGCTGATCTTTAATTACAACAGCTTCAACAGTTTGACCAGTCCTAAATCTTTCTTTTTGAAGATGATGAGCTTTGCTACAAAAAGAATCACATTTTCCTTTTAATGACAATGAAAAACAATGATTGGAAGACTGCCTAAAATTATTCAAATCACTTCATTATTGCAGATACATGGATAAAACTTTCACCACTTTAAGGAATTCTGATCTAGTTTTTCAATTCCTTGAGTACTTCAATAGTTAGCATAACCATTTAACCCTCATCAGCACACCCGGGGTCCACATGGGCTCCAACGATTTTCTCAGTTGTATATCTTTTTACAAAATCATTACAAATCTATACCCATTCATGTCATTGTCAAGCAGAAACCCTGTATCAATATGACAGTATTGTTTTTGAATCATGCAGACGGAGTATTTAGCTATAATCTAATATTTATCTGGGGTCCATGTGGACCTCATACTATCACTGACCATCACTATACATGCAGTTCACCCTATAGCATATGAAACAAATTTCTAAATGTTTATTTCACTATATAGGCTGTTGTAGAGGATAATTCATCAAAGAGGTACAGTATCATCTGGTCTGTTTGCTTATAACATCATTGTGGTAAGCATGTATGCACATCTTATTCCTCAACAAGTGTTCTCTGTGATGATGCTTATAATGCCCTATTCTATAGAAACCTTGTTTGATAATTGTTGTAAATAACCTGCTTATTGAATTTTCAATTTCTAGCATACAATGAGGACATCTTTGTGTTTGGTCAGAACCAAGGTGACCCACAATGTAAAATTTGAGTTGAATTTTACAGTATGGTAATTTTATGCTTGGGTCTGGATGGACCCAGATGTTCCGTACCATAATTTTTTGAAGATGTGCTAATGAGAGTTAAAATGTACTGTTGAACATCAACAAGACCATAAACTTTCATTCATTCCTGGACACTTTGATTTACAATAACAATGGTCATTTCCAATGAGAAGTATACCACAGAAAAACATTTCTTGGTATGTAATTTTACAAGTTATATATCAAATGTTTTTAAAGAAAACTTGGTTAAGATTTTGTTCCATCAAGCACAAGAAATATCTAGAAATTCTTTGCAAATAGAATTAAATAACATCAAATAATTCTTATGCAAAGAAGTACTCTCAGAATATATTTCAAACCTATCTGGATAAGCATAGTGTTAGTAAACCATCTATGTATGAAGTTCTGAAATATTCTGTTATTACTAATAGCCAGTTAAGAAATATAATTCATAAGATTTACTCTGAAATAAAGCTGAAATATTTTTTAAAACCTGTCACCTACAACTGTTTTTAGATTTAAGGAATGTATTTGTGCATTAAAGTAATCAATGTAGTTTTTAAGTTTACATATACCTGCTGTCAGCAAGGCTATATTAGGTCTACTAAAAGAAAACCATTAACCTGTGTGAAAGAAAATGCAAACTTCAGATCCCAGAATAAATCAAGTGTACTTGAACATTACCTAAGGGAATGTGATGTCTTAACCCGAGAATGCCAGTGTGATTCCATACAACTTAAAACCTGTATTATCCTGTAAATCTACACAACTAGGTTCTCTTTCATACCATTGGAAGTGTGCATTAAGACCTCACATAGGATAGATGTGTATGCTATTCCTATCATTCCTTTGCATTTATCAATGGTGGTAGGGTATCATATGACCCCAGTTGGCAATTGTGTTAGTGTGAGCTTGTAAAACAGATTTAATATTTTTCTTTAGGAAATCTGCAAGTGTTAGGACTTCTCTCTTATTTTTATTTTTCGCTATTATTATTATTATTATCACTGAATTATATTTTGATTTAGTAATAATATGCAAACAATATTTTTTGAATCTAAGTCAAATCTGAGTCTTAGTCTCTCTATGTTTATACAGTGTCATGTATGTGTTTCTAGTGTTCAAAAAACTTACCCAACATGCCTATAGGGTTGTCAGAGAAAGAAATACAAAAGTTGTTAGACCAGATGATGATGATGAAAATGATAAAGATAGCAGGATACAAGGAGTGTTGAATGTAACAGTGAGCATCATGATCATTTCCTCCTTCCAGATTTGGACTGTGAAGAAAAGAAGTCAGCTATAGCTGAAAAGCTTCAGCCAACAGTGAAGAAGAAATGTACAGCTGTAGAAACCAAGTCAAAGTTTTGCATTAACTGATCTATTGTTACATGGCATAAAATCAGTATTAGTGTTTGGTTGTTTGTTTTTGAATTTCGCGCAAAGCTACACGAGGGTTATCTGCGCAAGCCGTCCCTAATTTGGCAGTGTAAGACTAGAGGGAAGGCAGCTAGTCATCACCACCCACCGCCAACTCTTGGGCTACTCTTTTACCAACGAATAGTGGGATTGACTGTCACATTATAACGCCACCACGGCTGAAAGGGCGAGCATGTTTGGTGGGACGGGGATTCGAACCCGCGACCCACAGATTGCGAGTCAAGCACCCTAACCACCTGGCCATGCCGGGCCCAGTATTAGTGACAAAAATGGTTATAAATGGTCGATTGAATGCCCAACTTGTCAAAATCCACGATCAAGTCTGAATGTTGTCACAGAAACTGCTGGTCCTATTTGTTTCACACAAAATACAAAGTCTGAAATTGAAGCATGGAGATTCTTTTGTCTCTGATGAAATGATAGATATGATAAAACTTCACACAAATGAAGAAATTGACAGGAAAGTTGTAAAATATAAAAATAATGATGGCATAGTAGTTGAAACAAGTCCATTAGAGGTAAAGGCATTAATTGGACTACTATACTTTACTGCCACACAGAAATAATCACATGTAAATATTGAGGAACTACGGAACAGCACATTATCTGCTGATTTTTGTGCATGTACCATGAGCAGATCTAATTTTCCATTGATTGCCTGTCTTAGGTTTGCTTGTAAGGAAACATTCTCAGAGAATAAATGAAGACAAATTCGCTCCAGTCAGAGTGATTTGGGATAAGATCACTGCACACTGTTGACAAAAACTACAAAATGTCAACTTGTACCACTGCTGATGAATAGCTTCTTGGGTGTAAAGGTAAATGTGGTTTCAGAATGTACATTCCAAGGAAACCTGTTAGGTATGGGTTAGAGATAGATTTCATTTGTGATAACTACACATATTATTTATCACATTCTATTCCATGGATCGAAATATTACATTCCCATTTTCCCAAGGAATTTACCTTCCTTGAGGAATTTCATCTTTGATGGCTTTCCTGATCCAGAATGCATGGTCCATCCATATTCCTTTAGTTGACCAATGAAAGTGAACATATTGCATGGATTAAATAAAAAACAATTCATGAGGAAATGCAACTTTACACGAGGGAATGTAATCTTCTTGATAGCTTTCCCTTGATGAATGTAATTCATTATTTCCATCCCTGATTCCATACTTTGAGGAAAAAGCCTTGCTGAGCAACTTGTATGTGCTTTGACAGAAAACATCTGAGGTACACATAGAAATGTTACTATGGATAATTGGTTCCTTCAATTTCTCTGGCAAATTCTATGTTTTCTGAACAACTGACAGTAGTTGGTACACTTTGGCAGAATAAAAAGAAGATTCCTCCAATACTAATAAAAAAGAAAGGATGTCTAACTGGCACTATATTTTTTTATCATGATCTTACTCTAGTTTCATATTGTCCCAAACCCAGTAAAATGCTACACAAAAATCAGAAATAATCCATTAATACAATGAAAGGAGGGGAGGGGGGGGGAGGAGAGAGAGAGAGAGAGAGAGAGAGAGAGAGTAGTATACTTTA